TTCACTCCGAAGAAGCCATGAAGATGACACTTTCACGTCTTGTTCTGTGCGAGGGCTGTAGTAGTAACTAACACAGATTTCATCTCTGTACTTAGATTCCAGTGGGGGAGACATATCAAAATAATTATGGTGACGCATAACAAAATGGTGACTGCGAGTTGAGCTGAGAATGATATTCAAGGCCTATGTGCCTAAGACCTGCATGCCCTGAAGTTTGGGATCGGGAGTCAGATAGGCTTTCATTAGCAGAGAGGTGGCAGTTGAGAAAAGACTCCAATAGGCCCTGAGTAAGTGTGTTCACCACCCTGCTTCCTGAACAACATAGAGCACACATAGAGGATGTAATTGCTGGAGAAGTCCTTGGAAAACAAACTGAAGAAAGTCATGTTATCCCCACAATGTGCCCAGGCCCTCATAAAAAACTCATGCATATAACTTTGTGGAATGTTTTACTCCCTGGTCGGGTAGTGGCTATAAGTTGGACCTTTAACCACAAGGTCATCATTGTGAAATCATCAGCTGCTCCAGGGGAGAAAGACAGGGCTTTCTACTCCCATGAAGAGATAAAGTCTCGGAAACCCGCAGGGGAAGTTCTACCCAGTCTTACAGGGTTGCTATGAGATGGTATCGACTCGGTGACATTATATTTGGTTGATTTTTCAGCCCTTGTGCATAATGTCACATAGAGGTGGGGCACTTGAGCCTGAGTGGACAGCAGAGCTATATATTGAGGCTCACTCATTTCAGATGATTGACAGTCATCTCAATTCTAATATGGTGCCTATAGTAGTGAGTACCTGTAAACACACCATTGGGCTACAGATGATGAAGACGACAGAAGTAGGGCAGAAGAGGCATTTTGTACAGCCAGATCCTCTTTGTAAGAGACATCTAGAAGGTTAGGTGTTAAGCCTGGGAAATCTAGTGGGCACCAGCCGGTCATGAAGTGGGATAGGAGTATTCCAATAAAAGTGTGGGAGGAGAAGCTACGGCACAGGAAACAGCACGCTACAGAGGGTGTGACTCAGATTAGAGCTGCTAACAGTGATCAGTGAACAGAGGGGTGGTGGAAGAGATTGGGGTCCTTGAAGTGTCCTGAGAGGGGTGTTGAATACTCCTTGCTGGCCTATGAGGACACATTTGGAAGGAGCTGAACTAGGGGCCAGTCTTAATGTTAGCAACACACTGATTGACCTTCTACCTCATGGTCAAGATAATTGTGTAAAGAAAACAATTCTGCATTATCAAATCTAGCTACATTTTGAGGCTTCAGGGCCATGTCAGATGGGTTTAGGAGAGAACTGTCCAGGGATCAGTCTACAATATAGCATTGGGGAGCATTATAAACAGGCTCTGAGCCCAGTGTCCTTTCAGTTCTTGGACCCTATTATAGTCCTGAAAAGAACGAATGTATGAGAAGAAGTGGTTACAAGACTCTGAATTCTATAATTTTAATGATTGTTAGCAGGAATAATTACTAATATTTATCAAATAGCCTCTTCAGCTAGGGATTTCAGAAACTAGATATGTTCAGGAGAAATACAAGCCAAAATAATCCTCCAAAAGCAAGGAAATCCCAGCAAATGTGCCAAGAAATCTGTAAATACTAATTTAAAAATTAAAAGACAAACCTGTCTTGAGAATTTTAATTTGACAAAGTCTGAGCGCCCTCTGATGGTTAACTTGGGGCCCTACAGCAGATGTCAATTTTAGCTGCATGGCGTCATCTTGTTACTTCCTTCCCTTTATCAAGCAAGCGATTGCTCTTTTCTGCTCTCTACAAATAAAATAAGTCAGTGGGCTTATTACAGAAATCCCCACCCAAAACATGTGAAATATTTGAAAAGCTGCTAATTCAATACAATTTAAGGATAATACAGACTAGTTAAGCCAGAGACACAAACAGGCGCTAATACATGAGGGCCTAAAGGATTTAGAAGAAAAAAAAAATCATCTTTATCTCATTGTATTGTTGGTTACTTGTGATCTTTATACTGTTCTCTAGGGAAAATGGCACAGCCACCAGGAAGATTAAGGTTACCACCGGCATACCAAAGCATCAGCTGCCTGCTGACGCCCTCAGCTGGCCGATCCCGTGGCTTGCAGGGCTGGCAGGGGGATGCCTCCCACTGCAGGCTATCTGAGGGTCCTGCCAGGCTGTGGTGGCTGGGCGACTTCTGCTACCTTTCCTCAGGCAATTATGTGATAAACAGACATCCTTTTCTTTTGGTAAAAAAGTAAGATGAAGGTACATGGCATGTTGTTAAAATATACTCTCCATTGACTAAATGGATCCTGGAGAGTGCAAACTGCTCTGTGGGGAAGGTAAAGCGAGACAATGTTTGCTGAGGAAAGGAAGCTCTGGCATGCACCACTGAACAAAAGGGAACAAGTGGTCTTTACTTGTAGAACAGCTTCCTACTAGGACTCATTCCTTCATACATTATGCCTTTCATCTCCACTCAACCACAAAATGATTTTGCTAAAGCAAATATAATAGTAGAAACAGATTTACATTGAAAGAATATTTAATAATAAATTGTAGCTGATCTGCCTACTTGCCCATGATTTATAATACAATAAACATTGGATTCTATTACGGCTCATGCACTGAAGCTGTTGCTCTGAAAAAATGGAATATGAAAGCACTCGGACTCCACCACCATCACAATAAAATGAGCATGTATAAATGTGCTAAGAGTATCTCTTTGCATCTTTTATAGCTTGTGTGTATTAATCTGTAACACTTATTAAGAAAGTCATTGCTATGCAAAGCAGCACCCAATCCCTTTCTCTGGCTATTCAACAGAGTGCACTGTTTAGCCAATAGGATGGGCCCTCTGGCCCTCATTCTGCATTCATCACAGGCAACATTTGCACAATGTATCTCTCAAAGGCTGCTGAAAAGAAGGCCTTAATACTCATGTAAACAACTGCAAACCAATTACTTAATGAATCAGGCCCACACATAATGAGGTGCAGACAAAGAGCTATAAATGCATTTTTTGCGCCCAATCCGCTGCTTTAAAGTAAAATCCCTCAGCTGTAGCTTGGGCTTAACTAACACATCATAATTATTGTCTCCAGGACACCAGAGAAGCCATTTTTTTTTTTTAGGTACAGCAGGATTTTTTTTTCTTTTTCTTTTTTGAGCTTGCTCATCAGCTCACTGACAAAATAGAGCAAAGAATAAATTTTAAAAGTGCTACAGCAGTACTGCACCGTTATGTTTATTCTCAAGTACTGGGTTTCGAGACCACTTGTAAAAGCAATAAAGCTCAAGGAGTGACTAGAATAAGTGGGATCCTTAAATGTAAGCCTCTAAGAAATTTCAGTGAATCCAGACACAAACAGCAAAATCAGAGCGCTCTCAAGCCTAGGATGGCATATTAACAGGCCAAACTCAGCACCAGAACTTTACCGTGTAAGATGCCATGTCAAACCCACTCATTCAATGTCCAGGCCTTGTCATCACTGGACTATTATCAAGTGTCCACAACCAAGGCTGCCAACAGGCTTTTTTTTTTTTTAAAGAGGCTTATGAGATTACTTATTATTTATTTAGGATACTAATTTCATGCAGAAATAACAATAACAAAAAGACCCCACCTCAAACTGAAGAGGGGAAAACTTAATTTTAGTTTAATGAAATATAGACACAAAATGTGAAAGTAGCAGGTTGATAAAATGTCCTACAAAATCCTGTTGCTTTTGAAATGTATTTAACAATTACCCAAAGAAAATGTACAAAGATAAGGTTTCTCAATACTTCTAAAATATAAGGAAACAAACACATCTAATATTCTTTAAATATTAAAAGGGATGCATTATAAAGCCAAATAATATAATTTGTTTTTTAAAATTTCGTTGAGAAAATTTAAGACTTGAACTTAGCATAAACTCATAAAAACACAGGATGTTAAAACTTTTCCTGTCACATAATGTATTATCTTCTATTTTGTTTAAAATATGGATTAAAAACTCATATATTAAGATAATAATTCATAATAATTAAGTGAGCAGTCCCTTAACATTGAACTCATCAGGTTTCTAAAAAGGAAAACAAAATTAATGAAAAAAGTCAATCTTATTTTATGATCCTAAAATATTATTACATACAAATTAAAATGTAAATTTTCACATAAAAATACTATATTTCTAGACCAAATACTTTTTTTCTAGGATCTTATACATGTAAAGTCCCTGTTTTAAAAGTTCATTAAGGGAGAGAGTAATTAATTAATATATAATATGATATATCATTTTAAGGACACTTGTTAAAGATAAATAGTATTAGAAAAGGGAACTTTCTGTGGTGTTTTAAGTTATATTTAACTCAAAGCCAAAAGGCAGGTATTTATTTCATCAGATGCTTGCTTATTCCCATGTAGAAACACCTTCTCAAGGATTTGATGGCATTGCATGGTTAGTATTTTATGTTGACATAACTCACTTATCACTCCTCAGAAAACATACAAATGCTACAGTTTAACAAAGTGAAAAGATACATTTTGCTCTTGTGGGAAAAGCAGCAAGAAAGCAGCAGCAAAGGAAAGGATTATCTAAGCTAAATGTTTGGTTCAAATGAAAATGAATACAAACTGTATATCTCGCGATTGCTAGTTGATACATCAGCTGTCTCAAAAACTAGAAACATGTCACTTTGTTTCTTTTAAGGCCTGCCCTTTTCCTAACAACTTCCTTTGTGTGGTCTCTAAGCAGTCCTACTGCGAGCAGCTGTAGATGCTAATTTGTGGTTCACTGAGGTGTCAACTGAGTCTTAAACCAAGGAAACAACAGCTGCAAAACAATACTTAGCTCTGGTGCAAATATTTTCAAAGGTAGACTAAGTTTCAACTGTTATTTTAGATAAACAAAAACCCAAACCATAACCCTCCATCAAGTTACACAACAAAATAATATACAGACAGAGTTAATTCATTGCAAAGTGACATTTTTCATCTTGTAGCTGCTATTCAGAAAGGCTTTCACGGCTTTACCTTGACAAAGGACTTCCTTTGTTTGATGAAAAATTCTCTTCCGAAGCGATTTTGTTAGTTGTCTTTGTCTTGAATGTGCCGCTGCCAATACTCAAACCTGTGATGAGCATCAACATGGAGAGTGTCAGCCACCATGCAGGGATGAGACACAGCGGAGGAAGACGCAGCCTCACAACCTGAACAGGGGCAAGATGCTGCTAGAGCCACAGAAAGCAAGGGAGCCTCTGAGGCGGGAAGGAAGAGTTCTGCTGTAAACAACCCAGATGCATGTGTAAGCATAAGCGCCTTATTCACATTGTTTTAATTCATGGACACTGGTCAGTTGTGGGGCCTCTCCTCACCCCCCAAAAGCAGCTAAGTCTGGCATATATTTGGGGGAGACAGCTTGAGAGAAATCCTTCTGTTTCCCATAGTCAGTTTCCAGAAATTGGATCTCAGAATAAAACACTACTGCTGGTACTTAGCATGCCTACCTCTAAAGTCCTCCACCAAATCTTCTATTTTACAACTCTAGTGGAGGCTGAATTTCCATTGAAAACTAAAGGCCACTGGTTAGCCAGCCTGGAAAGGTCAGTGAGAAGAACGCACAATAAGATTCTATTCCCCAAACTGAGCCAGCCAGACTGGCCCATGGTGCACCTAGCCAGCAAGGCAATCTCTGACTTCAGCCTCCTTTCCTCCTCAGCCTCGATGCTTTTGCTAAAATTTTGGTTCTTAACTGGTTACTGGAGATCATAACTAGAGAGCATACAGGCTCTCTCCATATATTTAAAATGGCATTTTCTGAGTTTCTAATCCTATAACCTACTGCCTGCATGTAACTCTACTGCAAACTGATTCTCCTAATGCAGCCACCTTCAGTCTTAAGAAATGCTCCACATGCTCAACAGGACAAGGTCTTTTCAGACATGAAAACTACGATGGAAGGTTTAAGTGGCTTTCCTTAGTGACAAGACTAGAGACCAAGACCTAAGAAGTCTCTAGTAGAAAGCAACTGAAACGTGTGCTTCTTTAATAGTTAGCTTTGTGGGTGGTTTGTGCTTACCACCACCACCTGTAAGTCCAGTACGTGGAAAGCTAATCTGGTATATGGAAACTTCAGTTTCCCTCGCTACTCTGTGCCCTTATTCTCCTTCGCTTTAGAGCCCGGGGGAAGTCCCTAGGATTACTGTGAAAAGTGGAGGTAAAGAGCAATGTGGGGCCAGATGTAGAAGACATATAAAAGTCTCACAATTGGCAGTCAAGTTCATAAGAAGTACTTGTGTGGCCCTAACAAAGGAAGCTCTGGAATTTTGAAAAGCATATCGCGCAAAAGGTAAAGTGAGTTTGACCACATAACCAGTAAAAGGGCTTCTTCACTTAAAAATAAACTAAAAAACAAATACATTATTGATAGTACCATAGTTTTTAAATGCATATCCAACAGATTACAACATATATCAAATTTACTCACTTCTTGGAACCTGTCCGATTAACTATCCACAAAAACATATGTGGCATTCTCTTCCAAAATGTGTGTGTCTACAAACCAGTGGTAATGCTGTTGGGGCCTCATATGTAAAGTGAGGTGGTTGGGTAAGTACTTTATAAGATCCTCTCAGACACTAGTTCTGTGACTCAAGCATGAAGAAGGTGATAAAAGTAAACAGTTTCTGAAATGTTACATCTTCCCAAAGAGATGATGCTTTTTATTAGGGCAGAGTAGGCTCCGTTTTAAAGTTACCACTACATTGTCTGGTCTAGCCGACTTTGTAAGGTAGAATTGGGATCATGATAGTGGGTGGGGAGGGGGGGAGGAAGCATTTAAGAACTAGAGGAAAGTTGTATGTTTCATCGTTGCTACCCTGCACCCTGACTGGCTCGTCTCCTCCCTGCGACCCTTCTGTAAGGGGATGTCCAGTTGCCCACAGATGGGCTTTGTGTCCCCAATCTGCACTCCCCCTCATTCACAATGATATGATTTTTTGTTCCTTGATGCTTGATACCTGATCCCATTGACACCTTGTGATCACACAGGCTGGTGTGGTTCTTCCATGTGGGCTTTGTTGCTTCTGAGATAGATGACTGCTTGTTTTCCTTCAAGCCCTTAAGACCCCAGACATGATATCTTTTGATAGACCAGAGGATGTACATTGGTACAGATAGGAACTAGAAACACAGGGAATCTAGGACAGATGATCCCTTCAGACCAGTGGTGAGAGTGGTGATACCCAGAGGGTAGAGCGAAGGTGGGGTAGAAAGGGGGAACTGATTACAAGGATCTACATATAACCTCCTCTCTGGGGGACAGACAACAGAAAAGTGGGTGAAGGGAGGCGTTGGGCAGTGTAAGATATGGCAAAATAATAATTTATAAATTATCAAGGGTTCATGAGAGAGAGGGGTGTGGGGATGGAGGGGAAAAACGAGGAGCTGATACCAAGGGCTCAAGCAGAAAGCAAATGTTTTGAGAATGATGATGGCAACCAATGTACAAGTGCTTGACACAATGGATGGATGTATGGGATTGTGATAAGAGTTGTATGAGCCACCAATAAAATGATTAAAAAAAAGAAAGAAAAATGTTTCCAAGAATGGAATCTCAGATGTGACAAATGTATTAAGTGCAATGGAGATTACTTTGGAAAGGCTATAGTTGTTTTTAAAAAAAATTTAAATTCATAATTTGAAAAAAAAAGTCCATTTTTTTGTATCCCCTCATGCGTGTGTTTGTGTGTGCGTATAATAATAATAATAAGGGTTCTGGGGGGAGGGGAAGGGATGGGACAAAGGGAACAGATATCAAGGAGAAGAATGTTCTGAAACTAATTGTGGTAACAAGTGTAAAATATTACTTTGTGACTGAACTATGAAATCTTATGATATCTGTAAGAACTCCCAATAAAATGATTACTAAAATAAATAAATAATAGCAGTAAGCCAAACCCTGCCCACTTACCCTGCTATATATAGTTCATTAAGTCCTAAGGATAACCAAAATTTTGCATCAATCAACTCAGAAACATTAATATTATTTAGTTCTCCAAAGACATACAACTTGAAGAAAAGTGAGACATCTGAAGGTGATTTTAAGAAATCACTGTTAATTCTGATATGTTAAATTACTATATGGTGGCTATAGAAAAAACAAGACAGTCATTAGAAATGTATTTATTTCTCTATTAGTTCATTATTAATTCACTTTCAAAAAGGGAGTTGAGGTAACATACTAAAAAATAGGCATAATAAAGTAAAAACCACTGAAAATCATAAAAAATATGATAAAATAGAGGGAAACAAGAAAATTCCAAAAAACAAAAAGACAGAACCTCAGTGGCATAGTGATGGCAAGTCAGGCTGCTAACTACAAGATCAGCCACTCGGGGGGAAACAGATGAGGCTTTCTACTCCTATCAACAGGTACGTACATACAATCTTGAAAACTCACCAAGGCAGTGCTACTCGGTTGTATAGGGTGGCATTGAGTTTAGTTTGAGTTTACATAGATAGAACTATCATCTTGGAATTTATAGTCTTTAAGAATTCAGAATGCCCGAACATTCTACCAAGGGAAGGCAGCCCAGCGTGGCACTTCCTATTTGATTAAGAAACTAGGAGACCTGGGGAGGAGAAGGATTTGGAATGACTCTTGTGGCACTTGAAACAAGTGGCTACTGTGACATATCAAGTGGGATCGTGGGACTTGTGAGGGCCACCTGCCGTGCCTGGTACAGACAGCACAGACTCAGCAAATGAGGGACTTTCATCCACATTGCAATCCACACCATCATATTTGAAAAGGGACTAGATCATTCTGACATGGTGACAATTTGTTACAAAGCAAATTCTAGAACCTTTCAAACAATGGCTTCATTTCCCTTAACATAGGCCTGGCCACTGACCTGACCATTTGAACATTGGCTTCAAGTGTTGAATAGACCCTTTGTCTTTACTTACCTGATAAATGTGAAGTGGAAACATCCACTTTCTGGAATCTATCTTCAGTTTGGTGTATATTATCCTGAATGGTAGACTGCTTCAACTGGTAGGCATTTGTTTCTATAGATTAAAAAAAGACACAGAATACTGAATTTTCTGTTGCTAAGAGATAAATATCTTCGATGATTCCAACGGAGTTGTTGTTGTTGTTAGGTTGCATCAAGTTGGATCTGACCCAGAGTGATCCTAGGCACAACAGAAAGAAACACTACCTGCTCCTGCACCGTCTTCACAATTGTTCCTAGGCCTGAGCCCATTGTTGTAGCCACTGTGGGAATCCATCTCATCGAGGGCCTTCTTGTTCACTGCCCCTCTGCTTTACCAAGCATGATGTCTTTCTCAAGGGACTGGTCTCTCTCTCCACAACACGTTCAAACCAGATAAAATGAAGTCTTGCCATCTTTGCCTCTAAGGAGCATTCTGGTCATACTTCTTCTAAGGCAGATCGACTCATCCTTTTAGCAGCCCATGGTATTCCCAATATTCTTCCAGCACCACAATTCAAATGCACCAATTCTTCTTGGTCTTCCATATTTAATGTCCAGCTTTCACATGCATCCTGGCTTGGGTTAGGCACATCTTAACCCTCAAAGTAACAATCTTGCTTTTCAATATTCTGAAAAGGTCTTGTGCAGTTGATTTCCCCAATGCAATATGTCATTTGATCTCGACTGCTGTTTCCATGAGCATTGATTGTAAATTCAGGCAAGATAAAATCCTTGACAACTTCAATCATTTCTCCATTTATCATGATGTTACCTATTAGTCCAGTTTTGAGGATTTTGGTCTTCTTTATATTGAGTTGTAATCCATACTTAAGGCTGCAAACCCTGATCTTTATCAGCAAGTGCTTCAAGTCCTTCTCACTTTCAGCAAGCAAAGTGTGTCATGTACACATTTCAGGTTGTTAATAAGTTCTTCTCCAATCTTGGTGCTACATTCTTCTTCATAGAAGGGAGTGTCCCCAAAAATCACCTGGAATTTTTTTCAAAGCTATGTATTAAAAAAAATTTTTTAACAACATAACCTTATCACTTTCAAAGTACTGTCCACTACACTTAATACATTTGTCAAATCTGAGATTCCATTCTTGGAAACATTTTTCAAACTCATCTGTTTGAATGGCTGACAGCATCTCCCTTGTTTTTTTCCTTCACCTCTGCTACGTCATCAAATTGCTGTCCTTTCATGTCTCTCTTTCTTCACAAAAACAAAAAGAAGCTGCACAGAGCCAGGTCAGGTGAGTCAGATGTTTGGGGCAAGAAAGGCATGCATTTTTTTGGCCAAAATCTGGTGCACTAAAATGGCTGTGTGAGTAGGTACATTGTCGTGCTTGCAAAACTAGTCCCCCATCTGCCACAAATCAGGAATTTTTTGTTCACAATGTGGCGCAATCTTTTCAGAATCCCTAATAAAAATCTTGGTTAACAGTCTTACCTGGTGGCACAAACTCCAAATGCACCAGGAGTTCACAGAACAAGGTTTGTCATCAATCAACATTTCACCTTTTGAAAAGAGAAAACCACTCATACACTTGAGTTTTTCCCATAGCCTTGTCCTTGTATGCTGTGTTCAACATCACAACAGTTTTTGTGGCATTTTTCCTGAGCTGTGTGATGTTTTCTTAAATCGGCCATTACAAAAAACAAGGTTTGAGTGCAACTGCTTTTACAAAAAATTTCACTCTGACCAGAGAGAACCTTTCCAGGTGACGTCACTAGGTGCACTAACTCAGAGCAAGTTGCTTGATGCTTGCCTAGCGGGAAAAATGCATTCTTTGAAAGCTCTGTTCAAGTCAGTACAATTCCGACATTTTTTTTTTTTTGGTATCCCCTCATATAATCTAGCTTCTCTGATGATTTGTTCAGCCTACAGAATGAATAAGTATAGTAAGAGGATACTCCATTGCACACCTTTATTTTAAACTATGCTGTATTCCCTTGTGCTGCTTGAACAACTGCCCATTGATATGCGTACAAGTTCCCCATGAGCACAATGAAGTGTTCTGGAATTCCCTTTTTTCTCAAAGTTATCAATAGTTTTCTTTGATCCACACAGTCTAATACATTGGCAAAGTCACTGAAACACAAGTAAACATCTTTCTGGTACTTTCTGGTTTCAGATAAGATCCATCTGACATCAGCAACAAAATCCTTTGTTCCATGTCCTCTTGTGAATATGACCTGACCTGTGTCAGCTCCCTGTTAATGTACACTGTTGCAACCATTGTTGGATAGTCTTCAGCAAAAATTTATTTCCATGTGATATCAGGGATTTTGTTCTGTTATTTGAGCATTCTGTTGGGTCACTTTTCTTTGGAATGGGTATTAATATGAATCTCTTCCAGTCAGTTGGCTGTCTTTCAAATTTCCTCACAAAGACAAATTACTGCTTCCAGTACTTCATCTGCTTGTTGAAATATTTCCATTGGTATTACATCAATTCCTGGAGCATTGTTTTTGGTTAACGCTTTTAGTGCAGCTTGGAGTTCTTCCTCCAGCACCATCGGTTCTTGCTCATACGCTACTTCCTGAACTGGTTAATGCTGACCAGTTCTTTTTGGTACAGTGACTCTGTGTGTTCTTTCCATTTTCTTTTGATGCTTCCCACATCGTTCAACATTCGCCCCATAGAATCTTTCAGATGTGCTGAGTGTTTTCTTCCTTTTTATTTTTTTAATTCTAGGTCTTTGCACATTTCATTATAATATTTTCTTTGTTTTCTTGAGCTGTCCTTTGAAATTTTCTATTCAGCTCTTTGACTTCATCCTTTCTTCCATGTACTTTAGCTACTCCATGATTAAGAGCAAGTTTCTGAGTCTATTCTGACAGTCACTTGGATTTTTTTCATTTTTTCCCAGTTTTAATGACTTTTTTCTTTCTTTATGAATGATGTTTTTGATGTCCTCCCACATCTCATCATGTCTTCTGTCATTAGTGTTCAATGCAACAAAACTGTTCATGAGATGTTCTTGAGTTTCAGGTGGGATAGACTCAAGGTCATAGTTTGCATCTCCTGGACTTGTTCTAATTTTATTCAGTTTTAACCTAAACTTACATTTGAGCAGCTGGTGGTCTGCTCCATAATCAGCTGCGGATATTAGCCTTCTCCGTCTTCTCTTTCCGCAGATACAGTCCATTTGATTTCTGTGTATTTCATTTGGAGAAGTCCATGCCTTTTGCTTTCTTGTAAAAAGGTGTTTGCTGTGAGTAAGTCATCGGTCATGCAGAATTCTATCATATGATCTCCAGCTTCACGTCTATCACCAAGTCCATGTTTTCCTAAGATAGCACTTTTCAAATACATGTGAGTTATTTTTTTACCTGTCAATTTTCAGAAAGTCTAAAATACAATAAATCAAGCAAAATCAATTTACGTGAACTCAAATTTCAGGATTTAAAGACATATGATGTGAGTTTATTTGAGAAGGTTGAATTCCAGCCATTATTTTGGGTGGGTCTATGGCTAGATTCAACAGCACAAGTAAACAATTACTGATTACTTCAGTTTTTGCTGGAGCAGCTACAGAAATAACTAGACAGCACAGAACCCCAGAGCCATCCAGACCCTCTGGAGCACTCTCGCGCTGACTTGAGGCTCACATCTGAGTGTGGAGGCTCTGGGAGAGACTGGAGGAGTACAGGAAAAACAGTGACAGCAGGATGGCTTAGGGACCCACAGAAAAACTTTAACCAAAGCTTGTCTGGGGAAAAAGAGGGGGAGGTTGCAGGAAGCATAGCCAGGTGCCTGAAGCAATCAGCAGCAATTTTAACCTCTCTTGTTTGAAACAATGCCCTTGGCTTGGTAGATCATCTAAGAGTATATGCTGTAGGTTTATTGGGAAAGACCGTTGGAAAAGACCATTATTCCAACAACCCAAGTGACACCATCTTCCCTATGACCTTCAGTCTTGAGATGCCAGGTTAGATGGAGGACAGAGAACAGGAATTTAGCACAGACCAATGAAAACCGTTTCATGGCTGTTGATGGCCTGAAATAGCTTTATCCACATTTTCATCATTGCTGCAAAAGCGTTCCTGCTGTCATCATCACAGGCAGGCAATCAGCTGCCTTTTGTTGGATCAATTTATGAACTTAACCAAGAGCTCCTTATTACTGGATTAAAACAAGCTAACACCACACTGAAGAATAAAAATAGCACATATCTTCCCTTACTAAGAATCAATCAAGATGGAAAACAAAATAAACACGATGCTTTGGAATGTTAAATGCCATGTCATGTAATTAAAATATGTATAGATCAGGGACTCTACTTTGAAGAGAACAGATCTGGAGACAACATTTTGTTTTTTGCTTTTAATATTGCTGTATTGTGAAATCTTGGTGGGTTAAGACTGGTATTTAAAAAATTAGTAAGAAAAATATCAAATGTGGTGCATGGAGTAAGGGAAATACTTTGTGTTAACGTCTGTGTGCATGAGTCAACTACTGTCCTGGAATATACAAAATATTTCCTATTATAGGTTAATCCCACTAACCTACAATAGGATTGTAATGCTATTCTGATAATCCCAATATGCAGATTACTTCAGGTATGCCTTTATTCCAGTATGATATACTGCATAGTAAATTCAGGAGGAAAAAAAGTATTGATAAGATTAAAGATAGAATGTATACATTTATACACTCTAAAAAAGGGAAAGTTAATTATTAAAAAAAAGGTTAAAGCACCCTACTTTGCTTTTATTTTACAAAGATCAAAAAGTTTGCCAGCTTTTAGGATATAAGCCAAAATCTTAATGGTTCTACGCTCTTAGTGCATTTAAAGTCAGGGAATGGAGCAAATAGAATTTTAGAGGGGAAAAAAAAAAGAAATCAACTCGATAAAACCTCAGACACTGGAATTGGGTGGTAATTTATAATTCCTTCACATCTATCACCTTAAGGTCGAGGAATTAAACTCCAGTAGGCTGACTCTTTTCTCAGATTCCAGGAAAATATATACCATTTACTTTCAAGAGAGGATTTCTGTGAGATATTAACAGTTGTCAGATAATTTCAGGTGTGTGGGGATTAAGTATTCTGTTCAAAAACAAGTT